CCCCAAAACCCCAAAACCCCAAAACCCCAAAACCCCTTTCTTAAAACAATTAATTGAAAATAGAATGAAATTGGAATAAGCCTTGTTGATGCAAATAGTATACTACTTTAAAGTTCGAAGAATATCATTGAATTTTGACTGGATCATATCTAAAGGTGAGTCAAGACTTCCTTTTCCATCCCTGCTCTTCTCTGTCAAAGTTTGATGATTTTGCCAACAATTGAGACCTGCTTTCTTTCAGTACATGATATGAATGTCATACTAAACCCAAACTGTTCAAGCCTATATAAGATAGCTCTAGATAATTCTTTAAAACCCCAGTACCTATCAGACTTTTGAGTGTGTTCGCTATCTTCCTAATTCAATACTATTTTACAAATACTTTCGATTCTCTTAACTTTCTGTGAAATATTGCTAATGTTTTCAAAGTTTCCAGAGACTTTCTTACGGATTACTCAAATAATAGGTGCCTCACAGAATATGAAGGTTGTCTTTCTTAATTGAGAGGGATTGGCCTTGGAATAAAATTGACAAATCTTCCTTATTGCTCCTTGGTCTGTTTCTACTTGGATGCCTAGATCTGGCGCTAAAGTAGTATAAAACTATTGGTTTTGAGAATAAAATCAAAATTTTTAGCATAGAAAAGAAGAATAAAGAAGGCACTATTAACTCACTTTGCAGACATTGCCTGAGCTGGTCCGGGAAATTGAAGAGACTGTGTATCCTTAGAAGGAGAATTAAGTGAGTTTAAATTGGTATTGCTGTTTTTGTTATTTTAAATTTACCGGCTCTGATAATACAATCTTTTCGGCGAAACTTTAGCCTGAAAGGTAACATTTTTCTTGGAGTGATAGATGGCTGGAATCAGATCTTAGTGTTCAAGTTCTTTTTCTGGATAGGATAGATTTCATTTTGATGCCACCTTATAAGCCCTCTTCTGATGTTGGATAAATGAAGTTTCATGATTTTGAGATTTAAGTAGGCTTGGTGGAAAAAGGAAAGGACTTCCTTTCAAATTTAGAGCCATATTTTGGTCTGGGATTAGTCTTTGATACAGTACTGACTCATCAGTAGCCATCAAAATCTCAGGGATTTTCATAATGAGGGAGGGTTTGTTTCTTCCCTTCTTAAGTAGTTTCTTAATTCTCTCTATCTATGACAATGAACTCAGCAAATAAGTGTCAAATATTTTCATAACTGAAGCTGTCTAGAATGGGAAAATGGTCTTACAGATACTTATCAAAAATTAAAGTCAACTATCACTCTCTAAATATCTAAAATTAAAGAAGATTCTTGAAGAGATGAAGGTCACTAATAAGCTATTTAGCCTATTTAAATGGTATCTTTTTCTTGTTAAGTTATGTTTGTTTTCATCATCAATAACTCACCTTTAAAATTTTCAATCTGCCCAATCTTTCATTAACATTTTTGGTTAATTCCTTTCTCCCTGGTCCAAATCCTCCATCCAAAGCCAAAAAATTACTCCAAATAGCCTAAAACCCTCTTCAAAATCAATTTTCTCATAAAAACCCTTCACCACCTCTACTCACTTTTCGAATTAATTTATATTTCAAATATTATCCACCAAGTAGGGGTTTTGGGGTTTTGGGGTTTTGGGGTTTTGGGG